TTTTAATTAATAATTAATTATTTTGATATTCCAAACATCCATGCCAGCAGTGGCAATATGTAGCTTGTATTCCGGTAGCTATTTCTATTTTCAGTGGTGGAAACCAGCAAGGTGTAACTTTACCTATTTCAGGAAGTAATTGAGACACACAGCTGAGAAAAGGAATCATAGTATAGATATCACAGTATCTATGTAGGACATGCTTATCGTGACGGTGTTTTGTTCTCAGTCATTGCTGGTAATACTAGTAAGACCCTGACTTGCTGGTGCAATCCCATGAGGTGGGGACATTTGTGCTACACCGCTGCATTCATGGGCTTTCCAAAATGTTTCCATTTGCCTCCATGTCTTTGGATAACAGACATGAGGCGTGAGTGTTGAGCCATTCTTGCACCAAAATCACTTCCTTCGCTAAATCTGCGCCTTGCTAAGGAAGGACTTGCACCTCATGAACTCCTCTTCCAGCATGACCATTAGTTACTGTGGTTAAAAGCCTCTCTCTCAGCTGTCCAGATTTCGCTGTGGCTTTGGGACAGATGTAGGAATAACCAGAGGGCCTGCTTGTTCAATTAAGCCTTTCAAATTAATGATATAATTTGCTTTTGCCATATATGATATGTTTAAGAAGCAGCTTTTTCTCTGTATATGCCTCCCTCAAGTCCTGCTTAAGTGCAGTTTACAAGATGTGCATGAGACCTTGATATAAGCTCTTCTGCTGGACTGAACTTTAAGTATCCTAAATAGTACAATGAAGTCATAGAAATAATGTTTGTAAGTCTACTAGATCATGAATACCATTATTAAGAGGAATAACCTGATATTGAGAGTTAATGTTTTTGCAGCACCTAACATGATGAGACCCAATCTAGTTACAATTACTCCACCCTATTTCTCCGTTTCCAGGCTGAAAGCCTGCAGCACGACAGTGAACACATTGCAAGCAAAGCTTAGGTCTCATTTTCTGTACCATTAACTAAAAAATAAAACTCTCAACCACAGTAGAGGCATAAATATGATAACAATTTTTAAAATACATTTTCAGATTTGGGGGGGTTTGTTTGGGTTTTTATATAGCTTGATTACTTACAAGGGTGCATTTTGTTAGCATTTCCAAGTGTTCTGGCAGCCATAAGATTCATCAATTTTCAAAAGCTTACATCTGAGATTAAAATTTTCCACATGGCATCCTTACAATTGTGTGTTTAAAAAAAAAAAAAGTATCAAAAGATGAGCAATAAAAGCAATAAAATAGTGGAAATGGGCAGTCTTGGCATTAATGAGACCTCCTTTATCATATAATTTGTTCAGCAAAAGAGATGTCTAAGAAATAATGATCTCTGTGAATATGCTCCTTTGGGAAGCTCACCTATGAGCCCTCAGATATCTTCTCTAAATTATTTCCAACACTCTCAAACCCTGACAGATTCAACCACCCGCTAAACAAAATAAAAACTAGGAGAAAATTCCACTACCACATCAAAATAAGCCCTGCCCATGACCATGTTTATGTCTGAGTTAGTGATATGTTGCAATCTATCAGACAGAAATGAGAATCTTTCATTACTGATCAGAACACTGGGCACACCATAAAAACCTGTCTCATAATAGATTTGTTAGTTATTTTGTTGGGTTTGGGTTTTTTTTCCCCCCAAAAAAAGGCAAGAATAGCATTTGAAGTCCACAGTTGTCAGACTTCAGAACCACACCATAGATCTACTACTTTGCAACCTTCTCATGTAATCACTCATGGCCCCCATGGGTTTTCTTGAAGGCATGGCCACCTAGGCTCAGGGCCCCCGAGACAGGATGACTTTATAGATGGGGAATAATGAAATAGCTACATTGGAGGAGCTGGGTAGTTTTCTCATCAACAGCCTATTATCAGTAAACACAGTTTGACTGGAACCAAAGCACTAAGAAAAACTTCAGGGATAAAAAATGTCTAGCACTGCTGGAAGAGGGGGGTTGTTTTCAATGAATCACTTCTGGTTTTATCCAACCAGATAAATCAGCTCTTGAAGGTTCTCATTAAAAACAAAAGATTTGTCTAAAAGAAAAATTTCAGTGATTCAAAATAAAATTTAATTAGAGCGTTCTAGAAATCCTAGGGTTTTTGTAATTTAATTTTAAAAAAAAATCACAATGTGAAATCCTTTATTAAAATAATTTTTGGTATCCATCGAAACTATACATGCTAAATATTAGAAAATAAAAAGGAATGCACTTCATAAAAGAAATTTCAACAGCAAGAATGGGGATTTTTTTTGTAATAGTGTTTTTTCCCAAGACATAAGCTCTTGTTAGGGCTTAACAAGAATGAGAGCCATTTAAAAAAGGGAATGGATCAGGTGTGAATTGATAAAACTTCCCACTTCTTTGACCTTGTAAACTTCACATCATAATGCATGACACAGCAGATGTTTTCCTAGAAGCAGTAGGTATATACATCCTCTTACTTGCTTTACTGTCTTAAACCTAGTTTTTCACATTTATTACTGTTCACTTATTGAATGGATAGCATGCATTTTAAATTACGTTAGTTGAAATGTTGGCTGGTTGTGAAACCAAGTACTTGGAACTGGTCCATTTGAGCCACGTGAATCAGCAGTACTGTTTTATAGGGATTTTGTTGGTTTTTTCACTTCAGCATTTCAAAGGGTGATCCTTGTGCAGCAGAAAATCTGGTAAAGATAAAAGGCTCCATCTAGTGGGCAAGAACTTTTTATGTAAAGAAAAAAAGGCAAGATTTTCACTTAATTTTATGCATGAAGAAATACTGCTTTAGATGTTTCATTAAGCTGCCATGTTGTTGTTAATTCTTGCCTTCTACAGAGCCGTTTTTTCATATGCAAAGCTGAAACATTAAGAATTATTCTGACAGTCTTCACAAGAAGCAATAAATGATACTAAATGAGTGGGTTTATACAGAAGAGTCGATCCACAAAGCTCTTCCTCCACCTTCAAGCTTCAATATATAGTAACCAAAAATGGATCATTTTTGTGTCAACAAAAAATTTAAACAATTTAAGGTTCTTTCCTGCTTAAAACTGACTGGAAACATTCATAACTTGACCATAACACATAACACAGTATTTTGGGAGTATTTTTACAAAGGGAACTCTGCCTGTGTTTTACCTCATCTTCATTAAATGACCTGTTTACCTGCAAAGGGTGAAATCTGGGTTCTCTGGCAACTCAGTCCAGTGCATCAGCGTCTGGCAAGGCATAACCCCATCAGCCTCTGCCGTCTCTTCCAAAGGCAAACACAAAACTCCTTCCTCCTGGCATCTGTCTAGGAGCCTACCTAGCACCGTTCTGTGTCTAAAATCATCCTGATAGAATCTAGCACCCTTTTTTTAGGTACATAATTGATTTAGTACAGTAATTTTTCTTCCTCTTTTCTGAACTTCCGTACTGCATTGCAGTTATGCTCCAACCCCCTGAGAGATTCAAGTGGCAGGACTCTTCAGTTTAAAGCAGTAGTGAAACTCGGCTGTTACTTCAACCAGGTAGCAGCTAAAACCTTCTCTTCAGTTCATTGCAGGCTAACAAGAGTGGGAGCAGGAACAAGTAGCAGCAAGTACAGATTTGGCAGAAAAGACACTGAACCACAGTGTATGTCCTGCCTTTTGGCAGACTCTTGTCTCTCACTTTCAAGCCATACAGCCTGGCAAGATCAATTCCTCCTGTGCAGCTTTCAACAATGGGTGGACAGTGTAACATGCATTGTAATAATATATTACCATAGCCATTTACTGTAACCCGTGTTCACATCCATGATCTGAGTATTTGTTTCCTGTGCAAATCACAAAATAAGAATTTAATATGTTGTTTTGCACACCTCCTGATCACAGGGAGACCTCCATTTGCAGTGGGCTGCTTGATAGAAAATCCAGAGGATTCCTCCTTCACTATTATTGCACTATTTGGAAATTCTGACAGGCCGCACACTTGCAAATCTGCCTGAACAGTTCTCCCCAGCTGCAGCTCTCCTTGTATCCTCCATGGAAATGTTTTAACTCCCTAGCACCAGTGAATAAGAGCTGTCAGTTGGCTGGTTTTACAGACTAAAACAAAGGATAGTCTTAAGAGTTCTTACTCGGGAACTTTATATGAGTAAGGACTAACACAGAACTGACTAGTCTTAAAGCACCTTTGTGGAAGTTTATATGTTTGCAAAACAGAAGCAATGCCATCTCCAAAAGGGAGAAAATGGAAAATAAGTTAGAAACTGCATTTTTTGGTTTAAGGGCAGCTTGTATCTTTAGTCTCAGCTTGTAAGAAGTCTTTCTAACCCTTAAAACATGTCAGCTAAACCAATACAGAATGGTTGTTTAAAACTTCCAAGAATATTTCAAAAATGTCATTACAATTGCACTGTTAGGTGTGTTAAACTCTCCTAAAAATGACATTAGCTGTTTGTTAAAGTAATGGCATTTGGTTTCTAAGGCACATGGACACCTACCTCACTAGGTATGCAATAGAAGAAAAGTCACTTATTTCAGAAGTTGTTAAATATCATCACTTTTAAGTGCTGGCCTTTGCTCCAGAACTGTTCACATTTAAAGAGATTATAGGCTTGTTGCTGAGCTAAAGCAAATCCCACATTTGGAACCACAGCAAGATCCTCTGCTTCGTTTTACTTTCAATACCTCATGTAGCACTGGTACTTAAGCTGATGCTAAAAAATACAAGATTCCAGATGTGAAACTCACTCTGGGTAACATTTGACAATCTGCTTTTGTAATAATCTGCTGTAAACTCAAAATGCTAATTGGGGATTATGTATTAAATTATTCCCTCTACAGGTCATTGTATAGTCTCATACAAGCCTTCTAATTAATATTTAGCATAGCTATTTTAGATATTGTTTATCTGGGTTAGATTTACTCAGCTGGGTTTTTTCCTCTTTGCGGGAGCAGCAGTCCTTCCAACAATAAATGTACATCACTGCATTTGTTTCAAGAGTACCACTAAATCTCTTTACTTATTTTTCCTAGGTAACCAGCTGCTGAAGTTTGGGACACTCGTCAGTACCTCCAACACCTATGATGGCTCTGGCATTGTGACCATTGAGACAGACAAGCCTTTGCTGTGGACAATGGCTATCAAAAGATAAGGTCAGCTACAGCTGCCTTTCTGATCTGACTCAACTCCAATTACTGCAAAATTCTGCTGAATTCAGACAGTAAAGCTGTTCCAAAAGATATAAGCAGGCATTGATTTTATGTACTGAATGGAAAACAGATCTGAAATAAAAAGTTGGTTGAGATCAAATCAAGATTAGTAGCAATAACTGAGTACTTCATTCTAGTACCTCACTCTACTTAATCAGAAGACACATGAGCTACCACCCAATACAATCACAACAGAAGTGAATATAAAGAAACTGCTACTGCTTATCTGGTTAGTTCAGACTATTTTTAAGAAGCATTTGATTCCAATACTGAACTATTTTTTCTCCTTTTGCCAGAAGGAAATACAGTACACAGTTGCACATAGCATAACTATATTAAAAGGTGATAGCACTAAGAACAGTTAATCTCATTTTTCTGTCCTAGTTTGTAGCATATGTAGGTGTTGGTGAAGATTTCTCAAGAAGAGTAATAATTGAACTTTTCTACTTACAAAGCAAGTTTGTCTGCTGAAGAAGCTTCAGTTTTGCTGTAAAACCAGTATCAGATTTCCCAGTGCTTTTAAAGTCTGTAATAGAAGTAGCACTGTAACTTCTGCAAGCTTTTTGGAGTGAAATATAAATTTCTTAATCTCTATCTGAGGAAGAGCATTGCATCTACCAGTTTTTGCAGGCTTATTTTTAAAAATTAAAACATTCAGTCACTTAATAATGGAAGCTTCCAGGTCAACAAATTCAGAGCCCTTCATAATTCAATATGCAGTTGTCTTACAGAACCAGTATCCAAACCGGTTGTATACCCTGTTCAACAGTGGGAGCAAGTTGTTGATTCACTGAAGGACTGCTTACTATCTGACAACTAAATTAACCTCAAACTGTACATCTTAATAACTAACTAAGTTTGGCTTTCTTAACTATGCCATCAGGATAAGGACAAGGCAATGCAAGTTCTTCATTTGATGGAGTTGTTTTTCCAGTTATTTACATAAAATAACCTAACAGGACTTCCAAACGCAGAAAGGATTTTGGGGTAGTGACGGTGATTCTGGATATTCATGACAAGAATTACAGTTGATGGACTTTTAAATCACCACTGTGGAGGAGACAGTAATGCTGTTTTCTTGCTGCCTACTTTTGCTGGAACAATGCTGTTTACTAAGCAGTGAATTAATTTACTAGCAGTAAATTAAGCATTGGAACAGCTTCTGGAGAGGCTGTACAGTTGTTACCCTTGGAGGCTGGACTAGAGACCTCCTCCCAAGGTTCCGTCCTACCCAATTCTATTACAGTTGAAAGTAGTAACAAAACAAAACAAAACACCCACTCTACTACTACCAAAAAAAAAAAAAGCCTGTCATGTAGACAAGTACGATCACATACAGAGGAATAAAAAGGAATCTGATTACAAGAATGTCTGAAAACCCAAACTGAGCTTGTTTAATAGCAAACAAGTTAAAGCTGTGAAGTCTTTGCAGTAAGTGTCACAACGTCTTGTTCTTCATGATGAATATTCAGCCGCCTCTGTTGAAAGAACAAAGTAATCAGTTTCAACTAATCAAGTGTGATCAAGATCCCATCTGAAGTCTAATTCATCCTCCCACCAGTGCCTTGTTAAGACAAACATTACTACAGTTACAGCTTATCCCCCATTTTCAAACATTTCTCCTTGCCTAGAGAACCACTCTTAGAGGTATAAGCAAGCCACATGTCACAGTCATGGGACAGTATTTAACCTGTTCAAGTGCTAGGACAGGGATTGCAGCAGCTCTGGGGAATCAAGAGTTTTAATTGGTAGTGTTAATCGGACAGTACCATGGCTGCCAGTCAACTTAATGGGCAAGTTTTTCAAGCTGCAACATCCACTCCAATAGGTATTTTACAGAATGCAGTTACACATAAAGTTTCAAGCATATCTAGCACTCCGTAAATGAAACGAGACCAACTTTGTTCTGAGCCCTGTCATCTTCCAGCACAATCACTCACTTCTCTACCTTACCACCCATGCATTTACTTTGGATAACCAATGATAAACTGGAAACAGTATGTAAGATGCAAATAACTTAAGTGTTCTGTGGTCAAACACACACCGCAGAACTGGAAATCAGTCTTTGACATTCAGTTTTGAAGCAGAATATGCAAAAAATCCCTGAAGTACACTCCTAATATTTTGTGGCATGCTAAATTAATAACCTACTTCTCGATCATGTCCTCTGAATCAAGCAATACCTGCCATATTACACTAACACGTGAAATGCACAGATACAAAAGCAACATGGATCCCACAGGGCTCACTAACATCCTCTGTTTCAAACTGAGCAGGTAAAAATGAATGTAGAATTTAATGAAATTAAGGTCATATTTACTTACACAATGATATTGTTGATTGGGATATGGATCAATTTGACAAAGAAACCAATAAATCCCATTATCGCAAAGCCTATTGCTGTTGCCATGGCAATCTTCTGGAACTCTGCAAAATGAAAAAAAAAATTTAGTCTAGGAAGCCTCATGTACGGCATACAGGAGATGTGCACTACAGTGACCATAGGAGAGAGCTCTCTTTAGAAAATGGTAATGTTAACGCAGGAAGAAGTTCAAAAGCAAACTGCATTGACATTGAGAAACAAATCCACTTTTTCAGAAAATAGATGAGACTAAGAGAGGAGGTTTTCCACAAAGCATGGCAGATCTAAGTTTTTTTAAATAATAAGCAGAATCAAAAACACCCACAGTCCATAACAATTCATGGAACATTTATTCCATTAGCTTTCCTTCATATCCCTACAAGCCCTGAAAATAATCACCAATACAATATCAAAAATTAAAAAGCTGAATTAATGTTTGTCACAGGAAGACATCATCTTAAGTTCCCTCAAAAGTCAAGCACTTAAGTGATAGTCTCAGTTATGTTAAGACAGCAACCATGAAGTGGACTAAGTCAACAGCCCCTCATAACCCTGCCAGTCAGTGAATGAAGTTCCTTACTGATCTCAAAAGACGTCAGTAAACTTCACCCTGCGCATGTGAATAAAGCATCGTAACTACTACCGTTAAGGACAACCAGTTGGATCCTGGTTGTAGTTATAGCTTCTCTCTAATGTCTTTGAGACAGTTCAGAAACCTCTTCTATACTTTCAGCAACGAAGTTTTTCCTGTCCCAATCAGGCAGTCACTGACAGCTGCGAAGTACTGAACGGGCACTGCAAAAAGCAATCCAAGCTCCTTTCCAGTCTCCAAAAATGATGCATTTCCTCCAAGGTCACGTAACAAAAAGTTTTCTCTAGAATTTCCCTCAGGTTAACTACGATCAGTCAAACTTTGACTGCTGCATACGTCTTTGAAAAGTGCACCCAAGTTTTTTTCAGATTAGTTTGCCTAACACGTAAAAATTATTACTTGCCTGTCTTAAAATGGCTAATTTTAACTACTTTGCCTGTTTCATGTGTTTTAGTTCCACTCACACACCTCCATACATACCATAAATGCATTCAGGTTTATTATATCCAGAACCATAAGCCAAATAACATTTGGACAATTGCTCAAGTTAAGATCTCACATTGGAAGCTGAGAAACCTTCACAACAAATGAAACAACAGAAGTGACACATGGAAAGATACATGGTAAGATATAAGATGAAATAAGGATTGTGTTCTGGTTTATTGCGTGTCTTACCTTTCCTGTCAGGCTTGGTGCATCTTTTAACAAGTCGTATAGAGTCTTTTACAAACTGACGGCTGGGTTCCACAAATTGCATTACCTGATCCATGACTTCCTGTGAAGATGAATGGATTTAGTATTAGTGGTGCCAAATATATACCGAAAATGAGAAATTTTTTAATTATAGAAGCATAAAGAGCCGTTCCTTACAGAATTTGTAAAGACTTAACATAACTTAAAATATAATATTCCAACATAAGTAGACTTTAAAGGATACTTCCACTTTGCAGAAAATAAAGACTGTATCAATACATGCACATGAGGGCCCACCACTGCCTGCAAGAAATATGAAGTTTTGCCTTTCAGCACAGAAGAGGAAAGCAACACCTCCAACACAGCCTGCTTTCAGCTTTTGTCCTACACTGTGTTTCTAAAAGCGCTACTGAAAGCATCTGAACAGCCTCCCCACTGGCGAGGCAGCCACACAGCCCCGTGGCTGGCCAGGGGCTGTTGCCAGGGGCAGGGGAGCCCCCCCCTAGCCCCCTGGGGACGAGTCGCCAGCGGGATTGGGGAGGGGGGGAGGCTGTCGGTGGGCCCCGGCCCGGGGGCGAGCACAGGCTGTGGCGGTTGTAGCCATAGGATCCATGAACCCTGTGGTGGGGAAGATGGTGCCAATACACCAGTGACAAATGCTGTTCGATGAAGGGTGGGGAAAAAAACATGAAAAACTTGTTCAGACAGTGATTGCCCGTAAGTCAGACATCTATTGATTTGTACCAGTGCTGAAACCGTTGTGAGGTAGGAGTTTATCACCTATGAAAGCATCAACTCCTGTGGCTTTTTTTTTTTGTAGAGGAGTGTGCAGCACAGCACTTAAAAATGGGAAAGCTTTTTACATTTTGGCACCTCAGATTCAGTGCAAAACACTTCCTTGCATGAGGGGGTAAAAGAGGCTTTCACTGCCTAAAGTGAGTCCATCCTTGCTGTTTTGGAAAGGAAAATCAGATTGTGTAACAGGTAAAGGAAGAATAACGATAACATTTATTGATTTTTATCCTTAATTTGCTTCTGATATTGCTAATTTTAGTCTAGAACTCTTCCTAGTTGGCTGCCATACTGAGTACCCAAAGCTTATTAATTATTCAGTCAGGCTACAGGGCTTTTGCAGCCAGATGAGGCAAATGCTCTGTTGATCTTAACTCACTATTGGGTTTAAGTGTGCACAAAATCTTTTAACTTTTTGCTGACGGCCTTCATGACAGATAAATTACCATCGCATCACAGCAGGGGGTTGTTGGATATTTTGTGGATTTTTTGGCAGGTGCCTTCCTTGTCTTTGCTCGCAGGGCAGGTCCCCCAGTACTACTGATCTCCTTCAAAAATGAGCTTTCTCTTTTCCTTTGGAGAGTTATTGCCTTGGGCTTCTCTACAACTTTCCTCCAAAAGCCAGGCTTTGAATTGGATTTTGCTTTGATTCTATGGCTCAGATGGGGCTGTAATTTTGATGCCCAAATTCTGCTGGACCTTTTCCATTGGCACAACAGCATGGAAAGATCACAGAGCCAGTTAGGCCTCCACAACAGATCCACGTATTATTTGTGTCCTGTTTTTGAGGCCAGTTTGCAGTCTGAAAGGATAAGCAGTCTCACCTCTCAAGAGGAGAAAGGTCCCTAAGGAAAGCAGGGGAGGGCCTGGTGGGGCAGAGCAGTCTGCTGGTCCTCTGCATGAGAAGTCATAACTTCGGTGGGTTTTTGTTTGGTTTTTCCCTTCAGTGTCACAGATAAATGCTAGAGGCTTTACCAGCAGAGGAAACTCACATTTCCAGCTCTGCTGCGTGATGAGCCTTGCTGTAAACCATCGTTGCAGAAGAATGGTTTCTACTGCACTAGGTTCCTGTAACCAAACAGCAGTGATTGGAAAAAAAAAAAAAAATCAACCTGAAACAAGAAGACACATATGTTTGAAACAATTAATGACATAAACTTCTGGTGGGATTAGATTTTGATTTTAAAATGCATTTGCTGAAAATAAAGCCTCAGCAATTCTCTCTTTTATATTGATATTCATAGGGTTCTGGAGAGTCAGAGCTCATCCTGCCTAGCTTAACAACTGTGGGTTTGTTACCAGAGGTTCTCTGTGATGGGGTAGAAAGAGGATTGCTCTCTCTCTCAGCTGTCCCTAGCTCTCCTATGATGAGTTGTCCTTTCCCTGCCAGGCTGCGAGTCTGGGCTTCAGTAGCTCAGAGGAGATGCAGAGTCCTGGTTTGTGCACAGAGTGTATTTTTAGTTCTTCCTGAAACTCTTTTCCAACTTTTTTTTTTTTTGTGTGTGTTCTTGAACTAATATATTGTTACTTAGAATTGGTCTTCAGGGTAACTATGTTACTGTTCTCTAAATATTTACAAAGAGTCATCTGTGTTATACAAAAAAGTTTACATCTCCCAGGCATGTGTATTTTTTTCATTGAAAGCTTGACTATGACTAGGGTGTTTTGTTTCTACTTCTCTATGGTTCTTGCAAGCTTGGGGAAGAAAGTGGTGTGCTTGCACATGTAAATTTTCAGGCCAATTTTACAAGTCAGCATTTATGAGAATATCTTAGCAGTAAATAACCATTCTCTCAACAGAAAAAAAAAAAAAAAGCAGTTGTTGTCCTAGACTGTGTGCTAATGCTGATTTGCTTCTGGGTATCCTTTTTGCATAAACTGGAGCCATGTAATTTTTTTTTTTTTTCATCCTATGTGTGCTCCAAGGATGAGAGAATTCTTTTGATGATAGTTTTACTCTCCATATTTACACGTTTGTTTCTTGTCCTTTGGAGGACGTGAAAGAAAAATATCTGCTTTTAACTATTGGCACATTAGACTTTTGTATGACATCCATCCCCCCGCCCCCTCCCCCGGATCTGGATGCTTAAGCCCATGCTTATAAGGGAGAGCGAGATGCATCTCCGCTTCCTCTTCCATTTCCACGCTGCCAGCCTGCCCCGTGACAGCTCCCACTTGCCGCCCATGAGCACGGCAGGGTGACTGGGAGCCAGAGAGCTGCTGGCACTTGTGGTGAATGTAGTGGGGGATCAGCTGGAGAGGAGCAGACACCATCTTGTGTATGAGAGGAAGTTCAGCCTCTACGTGCTGCAGCAGTACGTGTGTAATCTCAGAGTGGAGTGGGGGATATAGAGCAGTAGCTCTGTCAGAGTGGTCCTCCCAGCTTCCCTGTTTCCTTGCAGATGGGAAGAGCAAAGTGCCTGGTCCTGCTCAGGCTTCTGTGAGGCGGATGCTGCTGGGTCTCCATGGCAGCAAGGTGGTAGGGGCACACGGGAGAGGCCTGGCAGCCTGGTTTTCTTGTTTTAAGGAGTGATGCCCATGTCCTGGAAGAAAATATTTGGATGCAGTGAACCCAGCAGGTCTCCTGTGGCTTCAGAAAAAGTGATAGATTTGGGATTTGGGGTCTTGCTGAGCTATCTCCTTCCCATCCCAACCCATCCCATGATGGGCAGCAGGGATCGAGCTGCTCCCCAGTAGGAAGGGCCAGAGGGGTGAGCAGGTGGGCAGGAGGCACAACCAACGCTATGGCCAAGGTCTCCACAGGCCTTCCTTGTGGCAAGGTATGAGGCAGCATCTGAACTGGAAGGAGGCAAGGCAAAAAACTGGTCACTTCCCTGGCAGAGTTTTTGAGAGGGATGGATTTTTTGAGCAGAGTAGCCTTTGGGGACAGAATGTGACTTGCTTTCATGGATTTGAGGGGAAAATGGTTATCCTGCAAGGTAGTGAATGTCAAGGAAAAGACTAAGAAAACTGGGAAGGTGGCAGCTTGTGGACTGCAAGGAAGACAGGCTACTGAGGAAAGTGAAGGTCGGAGTATGCTCTGGGACAGAAAACAGTGACCACACAGCAGCATAAGATTTACAGCCCCAATAAGGTAAAAGTGCAGACAGGGAAGAGAGAGAGAAGCCAAGGTGGTGGTGTGGGAAAGGTGTAAGGGGGCCTCCGTGGACAGAGCAGCCCAGAAACAGTGCTGTGGGTAGATGCCTCCTCAGAATTTCAAAGGCAGCAGCACAGTAGACTCATTGACTGAAGTCATGCTAATGATCCATCACTTGACAGTCAGTGTTGTTGGATGACTAAATGACTATTAAATTCAGTCTTTAGAAATTGCTAAGATATATGGGACCTTTTATTTCTTAATTTTACATTATCGTAAATATGTTTGATTAATTTATATCTTGAGAAACCTTTGGAATATCTATGTGCTTCTGACATTTAAAAATTATTTTTAGCTTTTCATTCTCCTAAACGATACTGAGTCTCTGTTTGGACTTGATAAGCACATCTGCATGATTTACGATGGGAAGAAAGATGATTTCCCTCCTCAGTAGCTGTACAGATGCAGGGGCAGAGCATAAATGAGAAATTAATGTTAGGGAGGAAATGATAGCTCCGATTTGGGGTTCAGAAGGAGATGATGAAGTGCTTGTGGTCTGTGTCTTTGGGTTAGCCTCATTAATTATAGAAATGCCACTAGATCAGGATTTAATGCCACGGCTGTGAAAGGGAATGTCGCTAGTCTGAAGCAGTCAACAAGCCCCATCCTTTGATTTGTGCTGCTTAATATTCAGTGGAGATGAAATGTGGGGATGAGGGAGGAGTGCTGTTAAAATAGATTTCTACCAGTGTTAGATTTATTGTGTATAATTTTAAAGATGACCTTTTAAATAAAGTCTGTGTTCAATTTCATTTGAAAGACCTGAAGAGTGAGAGCACTTGGAAGATTTGTGTCTGTATTAATGATAGACGCAATGTGAGAGAAACAAGGGTAGTATACTAAAATACTTCAGACTAAAAAGATCTGAAGATAAGGTTTCTAGATAGCAAAAACAATACAAGGAAGTTAACAGAGGAATAGGTGTGCCTCCATCAGCTGTTCAGGTCTGAGAGGTAAAGAAAAATCAAATATTAGCTTCTCTGATGGAATGCTTGTAATAGTTTTGTTTTAGCACAGCCGACACTGATGGCTGTAATTTCTATTTCTTTTTAGCCACTTCTCAATTCTTTCCTTGAGGTGTGCCACTTTTTATTTTTATGGTTTGTTTTGGGTTTTTTTTTGTACCAGTCAATGTCACTCTCACATTGTTTCTGGGCTCATCCAACAAAAATAAAATGTAAAGAAAAGTTACTCTGAGAAACAATGGGCCAGAAAATGTTTCCTTTAAGTCTTGGTCTGGTAAATAGCACCTGATTATACAGGCTTTGTTCCTGTCTTTGCAATTTCCACCTGAAGATTTTTATGTATAATAAGAAACAAATTGCTCAATCCTTCAAAACACTAATAGTAGT